CAGTCATGGCTACACAGAAAAACCCTAAGGTAACAGCACAAAACAACTGAAACTCTGGACAGGTCAGGGTGATTAGCAGTTCTATAGGAGGCTCCTGGAGGCAGGTGGGGCCCTGGTACCCACCTCTCCTGGACTCCTTCATTTTAAAGGTCCCAGCTGCTTCTTCTGCATTCAGATCATTTTGTAGGTCCATAACTTTGCCTTTTATTGACGGTCCACCCAAGTGAATACTGTTCAAATGGATAAGGGCCCGGGGCCATGAAAGGTCATGTCAACACTTTAATGGAAACATTCACTGGAAACATTCGCCTGAACAAGCACAACTTGGCAACTAAGGATAAAATTGGCTCTCTGCCTTAAGGAGCTTTTGGTGGTTCACAAGAATGTGAGCCACATTGACAGAGAGATCCCAATGCCTGAGGTTTTTAAAATACCCAATTCAGCATTGTAGAGACAGCTCAGGCCAGAAGGCTGGACATGAGCAAGCTTCAGTCCCAGTGAGAAACCCCATCTCAAAGAGTGACACCTGAGGCTGGCCCCCAGCACAAATGCATGGACACACAACACAGACAAAACAATGCCACCTGAGGCTGACCTCTAGCATGGACACATGGACACACACACACACACACACAGCAAAAATGCAACAGCAGCCACTTAAAGAACCCCTTATTTGTACCATGCATATGAAATCAGAAGAAACTGGAACATCCATTGGATGTTTTTCCTGATGTATTTAATCACACTGGCTGAGGTAAGCATCGATCCACAAACTACAGCTGGAGGGACAAGGCCAAGCCAACTTGTGTTTGGTTCTGGTGATGGTGTTCTGGGTTTGTTGTTGCGATTGTTTGTTTTAAGGTTTCACAGTTCTTTTCTCTTTTTAGACAGGAACTCCTTTGCAGTCCTGGGTGGCCTGGAACTTACTGTGTAAGCCAGGCTGGCCTGGAACTCACAGAGATCCAGCTGCTACAGCCCCCTGAGTGCTGGGATCAAAGTGTGTGCAACATGGCCAGCCACTTTATTATTTTTCCATAAGCTATGTTTTAATGTGTGCATGCTCATTTCACTTGGCATCACCCATGAGTTCGTTTTGAAGCAATCCATTGAGTAGTATACCAGCTTTCCCTTCCTTTATGCTGACTCTGCCAAGGGTACACAGGCTTCATTCTATTCCAAATTGTGTTGCTGTGTATGTCTGTACAGCATAGAGAAAGTGCTTTCAGGGCTACATAGACGGCTCAGCTGTTAAGAGCACTGGCTGCTTTTCTTGAGGATCTGGGTTCAATTCTCAGCACCTACGAAGTGGTTTACAATGTCTGAAACGCCAGTTCCAGGGCTCTGGCGCCCTCTTCTGGCCTCCATCAGCACCAGGCATGCCTGTGGTGCATACACACAGACAAATATTCATACATATATAAAAGAAAATTGTTGGTATAATGTTCTTGTGGAATGTATACAATTTAGCCTTGTTCATTCAAATGTTGATTTCTCTACCCCACTCTCTGGTTTCAATCTAGACATTGCGTTGTAAGCACCATCTATCTCAAGTCTTTGTGAATATGTCACCCTTTGTTCTCTGTATGTTCAACAAAACCACCAGCCAGTGTTGTGCAACGGAGAGAATAGGGTGGGACACCCTGGCCCGGAGGGGGGGAGAAGGAAGCAAGTGGGAGGAGTAGGAGAGAGAGATGGGCAGGAGGACTTAGAACCACGAGGAGAGAGGAACCGGATCTAAGATAGGATTAAAAGCAAGTACAATGTTGGAAAGTCTGAATGGGAGGAAGCTATGTGGGCTTGGAGGTTTGGGATGGAGTAATCAATGCCCAGCATTGTGCTCTAGGTTACCTAAATACATCCTAGTCTCTGTGGTCCTTTGGGCATACAGCTGGATTAGGAACAACCGCTGTTTAACTAAAAGAGAAATCCATATTAAGCTTTAATAATCAATAACAGAAAATGCTCCCTTTAATCCCAACATTTAGTAGGCAGAGACAGGCAGATCTCTGTGAGTTCAAGGCCAGCCTGGTTTACATAGTGAGTTCCAGGACAGTCAGGACTATGTAGAGATACCCTGTCAATAATAATAATAATAATAATAATAATAATAATAATAATAATAATAAAAGAAAAAAGAAAGAGGAGGAGCCAGAGCCAGGTGGTGGCAGTGGTGCACACCTTTAATCCCAGCACCTGGAAGGCAGAGGCAGGTGGATCTCTGAGTTCAAGGTCAGTCTGTTCTACAGAGTGAATTCAAGAACAATCAAGGCTACACAGAGAAACCTTGTCTCAAAAAAACATAAGTAAGTAAATAAATGAAGGGAAAAGCCACCTTGGAATAAATATTTTTATAAATTTTATATTCCTAGAACTTGCTCTGTTGGATAGGCTGGCCTCAAACTCAGATCCGCCTGACTCTGCCTCCCTAGTCCTGGGATTAAAGGTGTGCGCTACTGCTTCCTAGGAAATAAATGTATATTTCTATAATCAACCGGGTTTTTTTTTAAACTATGTCAAACTCTAATATAAATATACACATCCTGCATTAAAATGCACAAACCGTGAGAAGACAAAATTTAAAGTATATATGAATGAAAAATGTTTAAACTGGGTCTAGTGGCACACAGCGGGAATCCCTGCGCATGACAGGCAGGGACAGGAGATCGCTCAAGTTCTAGTTCAGCCTGGTGCTGCATGGTTCAAGCGAGCCAGGGCTACAGCCCTCAGAGCCCTAGCTAGGCGAGGCGGCTAGAGGGAGCCGGCGAACACAGCCCGCGGTTCCTGGGCGGACCAAGCCTCATTTGTGAACAGTAGCCTGTAGCCTGAACAACCGCGAGCGGCTCAGAGTGGGAGAAGGGGGAATAGCTTCGGCGGTGATCGGCTGGTTTTTGTGCGCCCATCTCCCTGGCAACCTACGGGGCTGGGCCTCCAGTGTGGAAAGCAGAGTCGGACTCCTGTTCCTAGCGCAGAGCTGTGTCCAAGCCTCCACCTCCGTTGGAGTGCTCTGCTCCCACACTAGCGAACCAGGCAGTGGCCGCGGAGCTCCACCCGTCATGACCCTACTCAGGCTTCCCATCCTTTCCCCGAACTCCATCATCCACCATCCATCATCCATCAGTTCCCTTCACCCCAACATTTGAGGCCCGCGACCACTTGGTCTCGTTTTTTCCTCGTTAAATGTTTTCCAAAGGTGCCGCTTTCTTTCGAAGTACTCCTGTGTAATCTGTCCCCGTGGGCGGCCACTACACACCCAAAATGCACCCAGCTCACAGCCTGAGGAACAGAAGTCAGCTTGCTGGGTTCGCGTGAATTTTAACAGGTCTTTGCAAGCAGTCTCTGCCTCCAGTGAGACGCCCGTTTCCCAGTGAGAGCACAGAGAAACGCCTCTGCTGGCTGAAGTCAGGACTCAGACAAGCTGCGGGTAGCAGTCCGTCTTCCTGGCCTCTGAGAAATAACCATCCGGCCAGGCGTGGTAGAGCACATCGCATGCGTTTGTGGGGCAGAGGCAGGATGAGCAGTAGTTCAGGGTCAGCTTTGGCTACCCTGTGAGTTCCAGGCCAACTTCAGCTACCTGAGATCCTGTCTAAACGAAACAGCTCCTCTTCCGAGGCAGGATTTCTCTGTGTAGCCCTGGCTGTACTCTCTGTAGACCAGGCTGGCCTTGGACTCAAGGATCCACTTGCCTCAGCCTCCCAGGTGCTGGGATGAAAGGTGTGTGCTACCACCACCAGCTAAATAGAACAGCTTTTTAAAAGAAGCTTTAACATTTTTAATTATGTGTGAGCTGTGTGGTAATTATGTGTGCAGGCGCCTGCAGAGACCCGAAGGCAGCGTCATATCCCCTGCCTGGGGAAGAGCAGCTTTTACTGCTGAGCCATCTCTCCAGCCCTAAATGACTATCTAAATTAGCCAGTCCTTCCAGCTAGCCCGTGCAGAGCCCTCTGAGGTCTGTCTGTCCTGGGGTGGGTCGCCCCAGGCGGCACGTCCACCTCCAGGGACGCACGTGCCCAGGCTTCAAGCCCTCCAGAAAGCTGAGTGTGTCTTACTCTTTTAAAGCGGTTCTGAAGAGCAGAACACATCTCTTAGACACGCCTGGGAACAGAAGCCTTATGGGTTAAAGAGACCTGGCCTGGCACCTGTGATCCCAGTGCTCGGGCGGACCACCGAGTTTGAGGCTGAGCTAGTCTGCAAAGCCTGTCCAGGCTAGTCACAGCCGCACAGCAACCCTCCCAGACCTGACTGACGCCAGTGCCCGGCGCTCTGGCTGGGTGGCTTGTCATTGTCTTCTCTAAACTGAGGCCGCACACCCAGTCAGGGAGTGGAGGTGAAGGCTACAGTGCATAGGGTGTCGGGGCTCCATGCCTGGGCAGCTGCCTGATGCCATTCTCCGTGTCCCATTTAAGCAACAGAACCGCATCCCTTAGAAGCTCGGAGCCTCCCAGGGCCGCAGACAGCCTGGCGGTTCTCTGACCCCCTGAGCAGGAGCGGTGTCTGAGGCCTCGCTGACACAGGTGTTCTCACAGTCACTGGTATCAGAGCCAAATGCTCTCTTGGCAGCTGAGCCATAGTGACGTCAAAGGCAGGAGCCTGGGGTTTAAAAAGGGAGCAAATGGGGGCTGGAGAGATGGCTCAGTGGTTAAGAGTGCTGTCTGCTCTTCCTAAAGGACCAGGGTTCAATTCCCAGGACCCACATGGCAGCTCACAACTGTCTGTAATGCCCATTCTAAAGGACCTGACACCTTCACACTAATGCACATAAAATAAAAGTTAAATAAATTATAGGAAAAAAGGGGGGGGGGAGCAAATGAACCAGACGGGATGGTACATGCCTACAATCTCTGGGAGGCAGAGGCAGGCAGATCTCTGTGAGTTCAAGGCCAGCCTGGTCTACAAATCAAGTCTCTGTGTAGTCAAAGCTATACAGAGAAATCATGTTTTGAACCCCCCCTCCAAAAACAAACAAACAAAAAAGGAGCAAATGGGAATAGACGCTACAGAGGTTAAAAGCCAGAACTTTTGTTCAAAACTGAGCAGGAAGGTACAGCACCTACAAACGGCAGATACGGAGGAGGCTGAGAAGCAACTGAGCTGGCCAGCTGCAGAACACGTGAGAGGAGGAAGAGGCCCCTGGCGCATGAGGAATTTTTCCCTGGCAGGCCCCAGTGTAAGCAGCTGAAAGGAGGTAGCCAGGAGGCAGGGGCCTAGGCAGTGCTTGGACAGACACCCGGCGTGGGAGTGTCCAGGACGCCCTGCTCCCAGTTCCCACAGCAGGAGGCAGGAGAGGCCAGAGCTCAGCGTGTGCCAAGGGCCTGTGGGACATGACGCCAGCTGAAGGGACCCCTGCCCGGCTTCCCCGCTGCAGAAGTGACTGGCTGTCTTTCGGCTGGGAAACCTGAATTCAGAAGCCTTTGTTGATAGACTTCTGGTCCCAAGTTTGGGCTGGGTGGTTTACGCCTATAATCTCAGCACCTAGAGGTGGAGCACCGGCTGGTTTCATGCTGCTCTTCGCTACAAAAACAAAATAGAACAATAATAACAGGATGCGATGGCTCAGCAGGTAAAGACGCCTACTGCCAACCAAGCCTGACACCGTGAGTTCCATGCCTGGGAGCCACGTGTAGAGGAGCAATCTACCAGTCGTCCCCTGATCTCAACAAGTGTGAGATGTGTGCCCCCCCCCGCGTCTATCGATACCAACCACCACAAAAACTGGTCTTTGAAACAGGTCCTAACGTTCTGGAATGGGCCTGTGACACAGACTCTGACTCCAGTCGAGACTAGGGAAGAGAGCCTTCTCGGGCCAAATGGGGACTCGGTTACCCGGCGGCGCTCAGGGATCAGCTCAGGCACCAGGCAGACAGCGCACGAGCCACTGCTTGAAATCCAAGGCCTTTAATCTGCAGCTGGAGCGCCCGCCTTCTCGCCCTGGCTCCTCCCACCTAACCACGAGCCGCCTGGCGCCAGCACTGGGACCTCGCAGCTGCAGCCCTCACCCGGGTCCACCCCACTGGCTAAGACCCAGTGTCCTTCCGGGGCCCTAGAATGGGGGGGGGGGGCGCGTCCCAGCTACCCCGGCATCTAGGTGGGCGCGGGTGGGGGTGCTCCGAGCGCCCCCGCCGCCCCCAGCATCAGCACGGCCAGGGCCTTGGGCCCGGAGGTGTGGATCTTCTCGTGGCGGTGCAGGTTGGAGCGGCGGCTGAAGCGCTTGCCGCAGAGCGGGCAGGGGTAGGGCCGCACGCCGCGGTGGGTGCGCTGGTGGGCCGTGAGGTGCGAGCTGTGGCCGAAGCGCTTGCCGCAGTCGGGGCAGGGGTAGGGCTTCTCGCCCGTGTGCGTGCGGGTGTGCGCGATGAGGTTGGAGCGCTGGCTGAAGCGCTTGCCGCAGTCGGGGCAGGGGTAGGGCTTGGCGCCCGTGTGCGTGCGCTGGTGCGTCCCCAGGGCGGAGCTCTGCGTGAAGCGCTTGCCGCAGAGCGGGCACTCGTGCGGCTTGGCGCCCGTGTGCGTGCCCTGGTGCGTGACCAGGTCCGAGCGGCGGGCGAAGCGCTTGGCGCAGCGGTCGCACGCGTAGGGCTTCTCGCCCGTGTGGATGCGCTGGTGCTGGATCAGCGTGGAGTGGTGGCTGAAGCTCTTGCGGCACGCCGGGCAGGTGTAGGGCCTCTCGCCCGTGTGGATGATCTGGTGCTGGAGGAGGTGCGAGCTGCGGCCGAAGCGCTTGCCGCAGTCCGTGCACGTGTAGGGCTTCTCGCCCGTGTGCGTGCGCCGGTGCGCCACCAGGTGCGAGCGCCAGCTGAAGCCCTTGCCACACTGCTCGCACCGGTACGCCTTCCTGCCCGCGTCGCCGCTCTCCGGGCCGGCCTTCGCCTCGCCGGGCCTCTCGGGGCCGCTGTCGTCTGGGGCCTCGAGGGGATGTGGGTCGGATGGGGCGGGCCTCGGCGGCCCGCCTTCCCCGGGATCTCCGGCCACCGGCTGGCCACACTGCGGGTCTCGCCCCGCGGCCCACCTGGCCCTGGTCCGTAAGGGTTTCGCATCCTCCGAGGTGGCCGCAGACAGGGTTGGCAACCCCTTCCCCATTTCCACAGCTCCTGTAAAAAGACGGGCCGCCAGCTGGAGACAGACTTCCGGAGGGCCCGCGGAGCCGGAAGGGGGAGCCAGGGGCCCCTCAGGCAACAGCCACCCTCGAGCCGTCGAGAGGTCTGGAGGGCCCTGCATGCACCTCCACAGGGAGCCCCCCCCCCCCCCCCCACACACACACACACACTGCTTAGGCCCAGGGATTCCACCTTAACTAGCAAATTAAAGATAGCTACATAATGAATGATTGACATAATGGATGACAACGAAGAGCTAAAGACATCATCAAATTCTGTCAAGTCAGTTTGAAACTGAGGAGTCCAAAGTCTGGATTTAGAGGCTAGCCACCCGCTCCCCGGCTCCTGGAAGAGCAAGCTTGCCCTGTCGGTCCCAGGAAGCAGCTACAATGCTTCTCCCTTAAGAATCTGAGGATAGGGCAGGAGAGATGGCTCGGAGGTTAAGAGCACTGTCTGCTCTTCAAGAGGTCCCAAGTTCAATTCTGGGGTCTGGTGCCCTCTTCTGGCATGCAGGTGACCTGCAGGTAGCGCACTCATGTAAAATAAATAATCAATCAGAGGATAGCTGATGGCACATCCAACCAGGAAGCCTCCGGATGAGGCTCACACCTATCAGAAGCTGGGACTTTGAGAAGGACAACAGCTCGCGCTAAATTATGCAGTAAAAGGAAAAGGAATTCCAAACCAACACTGGGCACTGCTGCAGCCACTGACCTACATGGCTGCTGCTGCTGCTGCTGCTTTTCTAAAAATACTTTGAGACAAGGCCCGGAACTCTGCATGTGAACATCAGTCCTCTAGCTTACTGCTGGGGTTACGGTGTAAACAACCGCACGCACTCTCGACATTCAAACTCCATCTGGGCTGATCAAACAAAGCTTAAAATGAATCCTTCCTCTCCTGTTTCTAGAATTCAACAGGCGCCTGGCTTGGGTTACTGTCCTAGGACAGAGGCAGAAATTTCCACCTGTGTGGAAGGTTGTGCAGAGCAGCGCTGTCCAGATAAAGGAGACAGGAAAGGGGAGAAGGAGCTGTGGGAGGCACTGCCAGGGCAGCCTTCAACACTCGGAGGCCACAGGAAGCCATTGCACATGAGCCCTTACCCAGAGCCAGCCCATTTTTTCCCTGCAGGACATCCCGGCAGAAGTTTTGCTGTGTGTGGTCCAGCCTTCCCCACTCCTCCCGGGAGAGATACAGAGCCACATCCTCAAAGGTCACCGGCATCTGAGACAACAGGAAAACAACAGCATTTAGGGTTTGCTGTGGATATGGCAAGAAAAAAATGACAACTCCAAGGCATGTGGCAAGATCGGGCCTCCAGTGATGCCATCACTTGGATTCGGTGGTTGGAGCAAAGAGCCACCCAAAGTTGGTCTTCTGTGGGATGTGATGGTCAGGAGCAAGGCAGTGTTTTAGGGTACATAGACAAGCTCAGGCCCCCACGTAGTGTCCACCCTAAGCTCATCTCTCAGAGGATGAGTCAATGACAGACCAGTCTCTGCTCCCTCTTCTTCTCCATCAGCTGTGCCAGGACTGCTGTGAGCCCCACGCCTGGGAAAGGGCTCTGCCAGCAGCACTTTAGCAAGTCACAGGCAGGAGGGAAGCAGCCTTCTCGAGTCACGTGCCGAGCCAATTACAGAAAAGAGCGAGTACCAGCCAGCACTCAGGGAGGCAGAGATAGGCGGATCTCTGGGAGTACAAGACTAGCCTGGTCTACAAGTTGAGTCCAGGATAGCCAAGGCTACACAGAGAAACCCTGTCACAGGAAAAAAAGAAAGAAAGAAAGAAAGAAAGAAAGAAAGAAAGAAAGAAAGAAAGGAAAAAAAGAGAAGACTGAGGACCACATGGGGACCAGGAAGAGTCCTGCCTTTGTCCTGGGGCAGGCTAGAGAGACCCTCGGGGACACTCACCTGGGACCAGGCAGTGAGGAGTGCTGCAGCCATCTGTCGTTCTCTGGTCCTTCCCCCTCGGGAAAGTACAGGAATCCAGGGTGAGGGAAGAGCTGCGGGAAGACAGGGTCCTCAGAGGAGCCAGCGCCCTGCTGGGCCATGATGCTCTCCCCTTGCTACTTCAAACCCCACCCCAGATTCAACCCAAGAAGCAGGTGTCCTTCTCCAAGGCTGCCAGGAGGCAGATAGAAATCTGGGGCCTCCCCCTCCTTTGGTAAAACCCTCAACTCTCCCCAGAACGCACTTCTCCTACCTCCACCGGGCAGGAACAGGGCTCTGTCCTTAGAAGCAGGATTTGGGGGCGTCCAGCCCTGTGTTCCTGGAGCCTTGTCCTGTGCTGCGCCCTCAGGGTGTGACTCTTCTGCCTCCACCTTAACATGTGGTGACTCCCGAGAGGCTCCCAAGGGCATGCTGTCCTCCTGCCCAGATAGCACGTCTCCACAGCGTGGCCCATCACCTGGGACCTAGGAACCACAGCCCCTGTCAGCACTGGGCTGGAGATCCAGCAGATACCCAGCAGTGAAACGCACGCTCAAATGAAGGCTGGCCTCTCTCTATCCAGGGCTCACCCAGCAAGGACAGGCAGTAGGAGATGGAAGATGTCAAACCCCACCACAGTGCCATGGACAAGGCACCCTGAAAACGGCTGCCCCCCCCTCCACTCAAGCCTCATACTGTACACAGCACTGTAGACTTTTTTTTTTTTTAATATATGAGAAAACTAAATGTACTAGGTTAAACAGCAATCCCCCCCCCATCCTTGTCAGTCAGGAATGTAACTTTATCTGAAGTCAGGTGTAGTGGCACACACCCAAATCCCAGCATTTGAGAGGATCAGAAGTTCAAGGTCATCCCTGCCTACAAAAGTAGGCTACAAAACAAACACAGAATGTGACCTTATTTGAAGAAAGGGTCTATTAAGAGGTAATTAAGTTAGTAATCTCGAAGTTAAATCACTGGAGTCAGGTGGTGGTGGCATACACCTTGATCTCAGCACTCAGGTGGATTTCTGTGAGGTAGAGGCCAGCCTAGTCTACATAACTAGTTGTAGATAGCCAAGAAGACACAGAAAAACCCTGTCTCAAAAACAAACAAACAAACAAATTAAACAATGGAAGGTTAGAGTGGGCCGGACATCCAGTGATTTGGATTTATTAAGAATAGAAGGCACAGTCAGGTCTGGTAAAGCCGACTTGGGAAGCTGACACAGGAGGACAGCAAGTTCAAGACCTACCACAGCTAAAAATGTTCAAAGCCAGAGGAAAAAAATTAGCAAATGTTTCAAAAAATAACATAAAAAGTCTGGGCTGGAGAGATGGCTCAGCAGTTAAGAGCACTGGCTGAGTCCAAAGGTCCTGAGTTCAATTCCCAGCAACCACATGGTGGTTCATAGCCATCTATAATAAGACCTGGGGCCCTCTTCTGGTGTGAAGGAATGCATGCAGGTGGAACACTGTATACGTAATAAAGAAAGAATAAAATAAAAAGTCAAAGGAGCACTTGAGACTTAGCTCAGCAGTAGTGCTTGTTCAGGGTCCTGGGTCTGACCCCTGGCACTGTCGAAAAACAACAAACAAGTACAGAGGTTGGAAAAGGTTTAGCATTTAGAGTACTTACGACTGTTGCAGAAGACCTGAATTAGGTTTCCAGCATCCATGTTGAAGCTCTCAGAATGACCTGTAACCCCAGCTCCCGAGAATTTCATGCTTTCTCTGGACCATCTGCACTCACATCCAAACCCTCCGATACACACACATATACATACAAATAATAATGAATAAAAAAGAGGAGAAGGAGAAAGAGGAAGAGGCACAGAACACAGAGATGGAGACATAAGCACACATGGCTCTGGGCAGTCAGGACCATGGGAAGGCTCCCGTCCCGAAAGCCTTCCACGGGAGGCAGGGTCTTCTAAGACTATGAGAGAATAAACCTAGGTGGTCTCAAGCCTCTTGGTTAGTGGGAACTGACCAGGCAGCCAACACATCTGGAATAAAAGGAGCTTGAAATTAAGGAGCTCCAAAGCCTCCCTTGCATTGGGCATACCTCGATGCAACCGGCTGGCCCTGTGTGGGGCCTCCGTGGCAGAGCCAGCTGTGCTTCCACCTGCACTGCTCGCTGCAGAAACAGTTGTGAGCAGCTAGTGGCTGAATGGGTGACAGCTGTCTGCTCCAGAAAGTTCTAGACTAAACAAAGGGCAACGCAAGCAACCAGTTACTCCACCAGTGTGCAGCTGACAGAATCTGCCATCAGCAGGGAATGCAGGTCAACAAGGTGTAGGTGGGAGGATCCGAATTCCTCCGCCTGGGTCTAGTAGCTATGGGTGTTCTCCATACACGTTCCACAGTAACCATCAGTTACAGGCTGGGAAACTGCTTACAGACAACTCACTCACTCAACGTCACCTTCAAGCCTACCAGTGACCTAGTGGGACAAGTGGGAATGATGCAACCTTACACACAGCACAGTTCCCACAGACCAGGGTAGTGGCCCAAGGTCACACACCAGGCCTGAGGCGGAGTCAGAATCATCTAGCTCCAAGCCCAGAGAGCTGGGCACCCAAAGGTGGCAATTTTACACACACACACCCCTCACGGGCAGGCAGCCATTACAGGCAGAACTAGAACTCAGACCCAGGGAGGTAAGCCATGAGGAGGCGTGGCCCAGGAGGAAGGAGCAGAAGACCTCACTGCGTTCTCTGGGTGCTATGCCTCTTACTGGACAGAGCAAAAACAGTTACACTGTAGATCCCCGTTAGAAGCTAAGTCCCATGGTGCCACCTCCTCACCACACTGCCCAGTGCCCTCGTCTAGAAGCCCTTCCTCCAGCGACTCTCACTCTCCCTTTCGTGCAGACACCGGTTTTGAAAACCACCTCTGCTGCTGCTCAAGGCGCCCCTCCCTAAGCTGGGCCTCACGATACCTCACGGGTCTTCTCCTTGCTCTCCGCAGCCGGGGTGCTCTCACTGTCTGCAGACATCCTCTATTTCAGAACTAGGAAGAAGAGCAAATGGTCCTCTCTTCCGCTAGTCAAGCCCCTTCCAGGTTTTAGCCAAGAACCTGGAAAAGAGGAAAGATATCACCATCTCGGGGACACCTCCGAAGCGCCCGCCATTCCCCATGCCTGAACACAGCGCAAATGACAGACCCTTCGGAGGGCCGTGCTGGATGATAGTTTCTGGTTTCTCGGAAAGGAATGGTACTGTCCCCTTTGTCACTGAAGCAAGAGCCCCAAATCTCGGCGAAGCCAGCCCAGAGAAAGAGCGGGCTGAAAGGGAATCGGAGTTTCTCGTCACGAGGCGCAGAAAGTTCTGCGGAGAGCCTGCAAAAGAGGCGCCAGGGGGGTGATGCCTGCTGTGTGCCCCGGCCGGACACAGAGCTCCGCCTGAAAACAGGAGTTTTCTCAGAGCTGCAGCCTCCCACCTAGGTAGGGTCATCCTGGCCGTGGTCTGAGCGCGCCTTGTCCTCAGCTTCCCAATCCTGGGTCCAGCCCCCTCATTCTCTCTGGCCAGCCTGAAGCCTTCCACCTTTGACCCTGTCCCCTTCGGCAAGCTAGCTGCACAAGCCGATTTCCAGGTGCCTTCCCAAGCACCCCCTTCTCACCAGGGTGGGGGCAAAGGAGACACCCGGGGGCGGAGGCCCCCTCCCGGGGGCGAACAGGGTCCCTGCAGCCAGAGCTGCACCGGGAGGGAAGCCCGGCGGAGGCTGGGATTAAGGACAACAGGAAGTCCCTTCCAGATCCCATTCCCCCCACTCAGCTGCAGCTTTACAGGGTTCCCAGCTTCGAGGGTTCCGGACCTGGGGTCTCTAGCCTCGGCTGCACCTGCTTTTTGCTTGGGAGAGAGGGGTCAGATGAACAGCGCTGCCTCTCAAGGATTGTTCTACCCAGCAATTATCTATGAACACCGAAACAGGAAAACAGAAGATGTGCTGGGCGTTATGGCACATGCATTGAAGCCCAGCACTTCGGTGGCAGAGGCAGGCGGATCTGAGTTCGAGGCCAGCCTGGTTTACACAGTGAGTTCCAGGACAGCCAAGGCTACACAGAGAAACTCCGACTCAAACAAACAAACAAAAAAGATAAATTCATTTCTGGGTAGACGTGAGTGTTTGATGGTTCAGAGGCATTGCGGTCATCTTTAAAGGAGCGGCGGCACACTGTACTGGAAGGGGTAGGGCCATTCTCTCCAGCGCACCACGCCTCAGAAGGTCATACACTCTCTTTGGAGCCCCTGATCCAGCTCTTAGGGTAGGAGGCCCTCTGGGTCCTCCAAGACTGGCATAGAGTTCTCCATCCTTGTGTGCTAATTTAGGAAACAGGATGGACCCCACTGTGAGCCTGTCTGCAGGAGAGAAACTGGATTTTTCAAGACTCCCTAAGGCTCGGGAATAGAGGGTACAGAGACAGGCCCAGGGTGGATTTGAGAGGAGTAGGGGGAGGTATGGGGAATTAATACCATTAAATTACACTTTACAAAATTCTCAGAGAACTAAATAAAAGATTATTTTTATTTGTTTGCTTGTTGAGACCCGATCTCACCATGTACGTCTAGCTGCCCTGGAACTCACTGTGTAGCCCATGCTGTCCTCTAACTCACAGAGATCTGAAAATATATATATTTTTTTTAAGATGGGGAGGGGTGGGGCAGAAGGGTGGAGCTGAGGTTCAATCCCCAGCACATGGTGGTACTCTTAGAAGATCTGACTGCCGCTTCTGAACAAAAGTTCTTCTCCCCCCGCCATGGCACACAGACATATATGCGGGCAAAACACCTATATGCAAACAATAGAATAATAATGGCTTTTTAAAAAGGGGGCTGACCCAGCTGTCTATGTCCCAGAGCCTGATGCCACCTTCAGGCCTTGGGTACTAAGGCTCCAAAGGGGGAAGAAAGTGATTGAGCTTCTCATTTCATCAAAGCTTGGAAGTGTTAGGAAAGGGGTGGGGTCCTGGCCAGAAGTAGGTTTCCCCAGAGGCTACAGGAATTCATCCTGTGCCTGCTGGCTGCAGCTCAGAGAGCTCACAGCTCTTCTAAGACTGGTCCCTTCACCCCAAAAGGAAAACATTAGAGCATAGTGGCTTGTTCCTATAAACCTGTAATTAGGAGGCTGAGGCAAAAGGATTTTGAAGAACTTGAGGGCAGTAGCTTGTTGTGGTAATCCCACAGCATGCCTGTAAGCCCAGCACTCAGGAAGCAGAGGCATGCAGATCTCATGAGTTCGAGGCCAGCCTGGTCTACAAAGAGAGCCCAGGACAGCCAAGGCTACACAGAAACCTCGCCTCAAAAAAACAAAGAAACAAACAAACAAAAAAATGAGCAACAAAAAAAAGACTAATCCTGGTCACCTGACAAGTTCACAGGCAGGCAATATGGGTTCACTGGGCTTAATTTCTTTTTAAATTTGCTAGTCTGGGTGTCACAGGGTTGGAAATCTGATGACTCAGGAAACGGAGTCAGGAGAGTCCCAAGTTCAAGGTCTGCCTGGGCAACTTAGTGGGACCTGTTTCGAAGCAATGTTTAAAAACAAAGGCTTTGGAATACCTTCACGGTAGAGCACTTAGCTTGTGCAAGGCCCTAGTTTTACACTCCAGTTATTTACAAAATGGGTAAAATAAAAAGTTAACTGCAGCATTAAAAACCGATCAGTTCTTGTGTGTGTGTGTGTGTGTGTGTGTGTGTGTGCGTGCGTGCGCAAAATAACCCTGGCTGTCCTGGAGCTTGTTTGTAGACCAGCCCCTCCTTGAACTCACAGAGATCCGCCTATCTTTGTGCTCGGATTAAAGGTGTATGCCACTACCACGTGGCCAAATTTGGATTTTTAAAAATCAGAACATTTGAGTCGGTGAGTTGGCTCAACAGTAAAGGTATCTGCTGTAAAATCATGGTGATTTGAGTGTGATTCCTAGAAACCCATATGAAAGTGGAAAGAGACAACAGAGTTCACAAAGTTGTCCTCTAACACCTGCGTGCGAACCCACACACACTCCTGGGGAGCTTTGTAAGTGGACACACCTGAGTGGCCTGTGTAGCTTCAAGTTGGTAATTTTGCTCTAGGACTTCAACAGGCTTGTGAGCCAGGGAGATGGCTCAGTGGTTAAAAGCACTTGCTCAGCAGAGGACCCGGCTTGGGTTCCCAGCGCCCACATGGCATCTCACTACTGTCCGTAACCCCAGCCCCAGAGGACCTGACGCCTTCTCCCAACCTCTTAGGCACCAGGCACACACATGATGCATATACATACAAGAAGGTAACACACACATAAAAAGGAAAAGAGAGAGAGGGGAAGAGAGCAGGGGAGTGAGAACAGGGCCCATTGTGTAAACAAAATCATGCTTGAAAAACTATGGAATCTGGCTTGATTCTACCGTCAATACAAAAAATAGAGTTTACCCTGGGGTTTGTCTCTGGTTAGTGTGTCCAGGGGTTTGAATCCTCAGGGTGAGGAGAAATGTACTTAGTACTATTTTCAAGCCAGGGACAGCTATCAACTCACACACACCGAGTGGGTTCTAGAATAGATGACACGGTACCCAGCCCATGAGGAGCATAGAGGAATAGGCACAGCAAGGAGGCTCGAACCTAGGGAAGACCAAGTTACCTCATGGAGTCCCTGAGTGACCAAGTCCAAAACAAAGAAAAAAAAAAAAATAGGGGCGGAGAGAAGGCTCAGAGGTTAAGAGCACTGTCTGCTCCTCTGAAGGTCCTGAGTTCAATCTCCATCAACCCCATGGTGGCTCACAATCATCTATGAGATCTGGTGCCCTCTTCTGACATGTAGGCCTACACACACTACAGAATACTGTATAGATAAAAAAATAAGTAATTAAAAAAAAAAAGAAAAGAAAATAATAGGCCAGGCATGGTGGTGCTTACCTTTAATCCCAGCACTCCAGAGCAGGGGCAGGAGGAGCTCTGTAAGCTAGAGGGCAGCCTGGTCTACAGAGTGATTCCAGGACAGCCAGAGCTCTATATAAAGAGACCCAGTCTCAATAATAATAATGGGAGTGTAGTAGTAGCATATATTATTATGTATAATAACATTTATGATGCCAACGCACGCACACACACACACACACACACACACACACACACACACACACACACACGCGCGCGCGCGTATATAACATTTACGATGCCGACGATGTTTCAAATGTAACGCAACAGGCAGAGCGCATTCGCAAACAGTCCGGTGGATCACCTGCACCAAATAAACTGGGGAATGTGTGTGCCATTTCAGCACCTGGAGAGTGGCGGCAGGAGGATCAGAAATGCAAAGTCATTGTGAGCTACACAGCGTGTTCAAGATCAGCCTGAACAACAACAGAAACAGTTGGACTTAATGGGTTATTGTTTTCTTAAAGAACACGAGTTTGAGAAGATGGGCACAGGGAAATTGGTGGACCTCGGAGGAGTTAGGGGCGGGAGGGGCTGTGAATATGATCCAAAATTTAATAAAAATATACTAAAATCACACAGTGGAGCTCCGGAAATAGCTTCTCGGTTAATAGCATTTGCTGCTTTCAGAGAAGCGGTGCTTGTCACCGGCACCCGCATGCTGGCTCAGGCTTTATGTATCCAACAGGCGAGAACCTGAGAAATACGACTTTAAAAGCAAATCACCGCGTGCCTTTAATCCCAGCACCGCGAAGGCTTCTGCGTAAGAGGCTCTCCGTGAGTTCGAGGCCAGCCTGGTCTACATAGTGGTGAAGGAGGAGGAGATAGAAGGAAAAAAAAAAAAAGCAAAATATTCAAAGACCACCAGAGAGCTCCAGAGAAGCGGAGGAGTCTCGGCGACGCCCTCCCTCCAGGCTCGATGGCACAGAAGCACAGGTATAGAAGGGCCAGAGCCCCGGAGCCCCCAGGACTCACGCAGGTCCCCGAAAGGAGCAATAGG